TTGTCAAGTAGGCATATTCGTTAATTATGTTGTAAAATGATATATGGTGTATCATTTGAAGTTGTTGATTTTATTAAATGAAATTCAATAATTTTGATGATTTTTAAGTATTGTGTGATTAGTTTTTAGGCATTGCGTGACTTACTTTAGACATTGCATGATTGACTTTAGGTATTACATGATTAATTTTTAGGTATTGCGTGAATAGTTAGTAAGGCATTGTGTAACTTAGTCATTGCAATCACGCAATACTTATAACCAATCACGTAATACTTAAAAATCAATCATGCAGTGATTAAGTCACATAATACTTAAAAATCAATCTCATGATACTTAAAATTCAGTCTAATCAATTTCGACTCCTCAACTTTGGGGTTCTATGGTTTTTTGAATAAACCAATAAACTCAAGAACCTAAAACACATACTTTTTTATTTTGCTAAGCCATAAAATTGTGCATTTCATAAAAGATAGGTTACAAAATTCCACAATCTTCTAAAGCAAGATAAAATATATCTCTATCGAGAAAGCTTTGCTTACTTCCCTTATACAAAAAAAAATATACTCCTTTTAAAAAATATTTTTTAAATAATTTTAACTCAAAATTTTCAGCAAACATGCTTAACAATCATCTTAATCTTAGATACAATAAAACAGTGAACCACCATAAAACCCATCAAACATGCTTTACCTGTCCCTTCTCTTTGAGTCTATCATTTTAACCAATCTGATCTAACTCATCAACATAGACATCTTTATCGCAACACACATTTCGAAGTAAGTCATCATCAGAAAGCATCCAGTTACCACATTCATCATGCTGTTTGCAATCACGAGCAAAATCGCTATTTATCACCTTTGAAAACCTCAAGATCCACTATCCACAAAAATAAAACTAAATAAGAAAGAGTTTGATGTCATCTTTGCTCTTTGGATGGTGAGATAGCCAGTATTTGACCAGAGAAAGAAATCAAGATTTAATTTTAAAATTTTTATCTGAAAGGCGGGATAGAGAAAACTGAAACCATTTTAATTGTCTGAAATTGTTTAAAGGGTATTGTTGTCAAGTCATGCCAAAAATTGACTAAAATAGTTAAAATTATAAAAAAAGATATTTTTGAATTGGGCTAATGAGAAAGGTTATCTCTCACAATTTTCTCTATTGTAATCTTATATATTTATTTTCATTTCTTTAATATAATTTTTTATATTATATATTTTATTTTAATTTTTTTACCTATATTATATAAATTTTAATTTCTTATATTTTATTTTATTTTTTAATTCTTATATTATATATTTTATTTTAATGTTTTTTATTTTAATTATAGCATTACAAAATACTTTTAATAAAGTAATAAAGTTGGAGGTAAAAATGTCTTTAATAGCATTACAAAATGTATTATAATATGATTGCATTGGTTTTGGATTACAATCAGATTGCATCCCTTGACTGTAATGTGCTTCCATTGCAATCTTACATTGCAGTGATCTGTTGTAAAATAAATATTGTAATGTAATTTAATTGGACACATTACAGAAAATGTACTCTTACTTCTCTCATACCAAACACTACCTTAATCTCAGTCCTCCAACTAAAACAATATATCAATCTTATTATGATTTATGCTACACAGGCCAAGGATTGAGATATTTTATGGAACAAACCATTTTTATTCGTCATTTACACGAGCACAACTAAAATACTTAGTCTTACTCATAACCGTGCTAAGAAAATCTCATATGCATTTGTATATTTTTGGAATTATCATTTATTGCTTTGTTTATTATTAAAATTAAAGTTATAATTTTTTTTTGTTTTTGTAAAAACAATTATCATCAAAATTGCAAAAAAGAAGAAGAGTTTTAAGAAGAAAGGAAGGAAATCAGTAAAATGACAAAGATTCAATTGCAAACGGGTCCCTATCTAATGGGGATATTGTCAACAAAAACGATGTGATCAGAATGGAAGCAGAAGCGACTTGGACCATGAGGGAAAAACTAGGATTAATAATCCAGAGTAAGGAAATTAAGTTGGATGCCAAGCTTAAACTGTAGTGGTAGTTCTAGATTTGGTATGACTTTTTGTAATGTTAAGGTCAATTGGGTGTTGTCATGTTAATTGGGATGATCATTTCTCTTGGTGGACATTTCTTTCTGTTCAATCATTGTCTTGAATATTTGAATCTTGAGGAGGGTAGGCTAAATTCAAGAGAATGAGGAAAAAAAATGCACATAATTAAAGATAAAAATTGTTATCCAATTGTTCAAAGTCATGTGTTCAAAATTAATAAATTAAAGAAAATTTTTAAAGACAAATAATGTGTCGTTATGTGGATTTGAACACATAATTTAAGGTAGTCATATAATTAATTACTAAATAATTAATTTATTAGCTAATTATCCTAAAGACACATAATTAGACCAATTAAACTTTTGATATGTGTCATGTATTTATCTCTTGAGATAATTTAGAGATAATATACTAATTAGACTAATAAAAATTCACTTATTGATTACCCAAGTTATCTCTAAATACATCAAGATAATTTAAAGATAATATTTTGTTTTATAATTAAGATTGGGGGTATTTGAATTCTACTCTTTAAGTAAGGGGATAATGCACTAAACAATGAACCAAATGCTCGAGTGCAAGATAATATTTAAATTTGATCAATTAAAATTTACTTATTAGTCATCCAATTTATCACTAAATAAATTAAGATAATTTACAGATAAAATCCAAATTTGGTTATCCAATTTATGTTTAAATAAATTAAGATAATTTATAAATAATACCCAAATTCAACCAATCAAAGATAAATCAGTAAATGGCTTTGTCGATGGTGAGAGATTTTTTCTCCAAGAATTCTGCACTAGTTATTCTTGACGACGGATCTCGAAAAAAAGTTGATTATGAAAGCATGCTACAGAGGAAGATCAGATGGTGGTACACCATATCCCTTCTTTCAAAAATGCTTTGACGTCGACGGATGGAGAAGATCTCTTTTGTGACCCAAGTATGGGCTTAGATAATGAAGTTGAGGAAGAGAAAGACAATGGCTCAGACAGTTATAACGTGTTTTAAAGACTGAAATTATTTTCGATTTGATACAATTGATGGTGTGCTGTCAATTAAGATTTCTGATCGAAAACATACAGAGTTGGCTAGAAGATGGCATAAATCCATTATAATGTGCCTTTAAGGGCTCTTTATTTTTAATAAATTTCTCTATGATAAAATTGCAACTTTATGGTTCCTTAAAAGTAAATTCATTGTTGTTGATCTTGATGAGGAGAATTATTTAGTCAAATTCACAGTGGAAGAGGATTGCTTAAAGCCTCACTTGATGGCCCTTGGATAATTCAAGGTCATAATCTGATGGTGAGACCTTGGTCTCCATCTTTTTCTCCTAAGTTTCAGGATCTATTTATTGTTGCTGCTTGGGTTAGGTTTCAGGGAATGCCTTTCCATCTTTATCATAAATTGATGTTGAGATAGATTGTTAGATAGTTTGTTAATGTTTGGAAAAATTGTGACTAAAGAATTATAAATAATTATCTTATTAAAATATAACTTTTGAAAGGTTATTAGATATAATTATTAAATAGTTGTATTATGAAAGAAAACAACTATTTGAAGAGTTACTTTATAAAAAGAAACAAGTCATTTCATACTATTTGAAGAGACATTTTATGAAAGAATACAAGTCTTTTCATTAAAAGACTTATACGTTGGCTTATTATATAAACAACACTCTTACACTGCCAATTTCACAATTTTGATAAGTGTGTTAAGGACTTTGTTATATCCTGGAAGTTGAAAAAATACCTTAAAGAAAATGTTATTTCACGCCCTCAAAGTCATACTCTTCCTTCTTCTCAAAATATTTTT